TCGAACATATTGGCTCTGTTCTTCCACCACCAAAAAGATAGATTCATTGCTAAAACATACCTGGATATAATAAATATACAAATGAGTACAAGGAAACACTTTGCAAAAATTACAGATCAAATTTGAGAGATTCTTTAGAAAAAAAATGTGCCTAAATTTTTGTAGAATCCATCTTCATAATTAAAATAGATTTTGATATCAAATATTAAGTGAAAACTCTCAAAATGACTTTGAGTACAATTTTTGCATGTATTTTACCTTACTCCAATCATAGATAGACATGTTTTTATGAATTTTAGCCCATTCTAGCCTCTTTTTAGCCATCGCTGGTGTAATCTTTTATTTTTTTTATTGACGACAACATTTCAAACCACTTTCAAAAAGTCTTCTCCGAACAGTAACTGGAGAAACATCGACTCCTGCTTAATTAAGTTGTTGAAATAACACCTTAGATGTGGCTCTTCTGTTATTAAGTGCCATTTTAACCAGATTTTTTTTTGTCCTTGGGGTAAATTTTCTTTTACGCCCACAATTTCCTACTCTATGGCTTTTAATTATTAACACATTTTTTTATTTTGCTTACTGTTTTCTGATTTACACAAACTTTTAAAGCTATTTCAGTTAGTGCGTAAATCTTTTCACCCAACAAAGTTTTTACAACAAAATATATTTTGGGGGAAATATCATTTTTTTGCCACTATTAAAATATAATTATTTCACCAGTTTTACTGTACAATTTCTTAAAAAAAACAATTTATTGGTAAATTCGAGTTAAGTTTTTATTTATAAAGTAATTTTGTAAAGAAAATAAATTAAAAGTAGTTAATATATAGTTATATATATATAGTTATATATAATAGTTATATATATATATATATATACATACATATATATATATATATATATATATATATATATATATATATATATATATATATATATATATATATATATATATATATATATATATACAGATGTTTTTATACATTTAGGTACTTATAAGTACCTAAATGTATAAAAACATCTGTAGGGTAGTTAAAGTATAAAAAAAGTAATTAATATATATATATATATATATATATATATATATATATATATATATATATATATATATATATATATATATATATATATATATATATATATATATATATATATATATATATATGTATATATATATACAAACAGATGTTTTTATACATTTAGGTACTTATAAGTACCTAAATTTAGGTATTTATAAGTACCTAAATATATAAAAACATCTGTAAGGATGACTTTGCATCAAAATCAAACTCAAAAACGAAATTCGAATTTTATTACGCATTGATTGTGACATGGCAATGGTTAAAGAACTAGATTCACTGTAAAATTCAATTTTAGAGTGAATTAGAATTCAGTGTGTTTCCTTGTTATTATTATTATTATTGTATATATTTGTTATAATAACAATAACAAGGAAACACGCTGAATTCAGTGTGTTACCTTGTTAATATTATTATTGTATATACTTGTTAGAACAAGAAGATACATGTTCTAAAGGATACATAGGTCCATTCAAAAGATGGACACTAACAGCGTAATCATACAAAAACTAAAAACGTACCATCACAAAAATGTAACCAACATAATAAACAGTGTTTTTTTTAAATGGGATCAGTTAATTTTTTTTTTAAATATAGAAATATTTTATGAGTGTGCAGCATTCAAATTTTTCCAGATGTCAGGAATTTTGTAAGAAAAACTATACTTTGGAGTGTCTAAGCAACAATATCGTTTTCACATTTTATAAATATGACCACGAGTGTAGTTATTGCTGTCAACATTGAAGAACTTTTAATACAAACAAGATTTTTAAAAATTTTAAAACATGTTACTAAGTCTTGTTTTAGGCGCCTAACTTCAAGTGAGTTCAAACTGAGCAATTGGAGACAGTCATAATACGTTTTACCTTTAAGGTTTCTAGTTTTCTGTTTAAATTTTTCTTTTGAACATTTTCTATTGATTTAATTAATCCAACTCGGTATGGTGACCAGACGGGAGAACAATATTCTAAAATTGGTCTTATATAATATGTTGTATTAAAAGCTCTAACTAAAATTGAAGGCTCGCGAGTTTTAGATCAATTTAAAATTAGGTATGCTCTGGAGTTAGCTTGATGTACAACATTTGCAATATGTTAAAGTCCATTGTCACTCCTAGATCATTTGGGTTGGAGACCAATCTAAAGTTTAATCCCCTCGACTGTAGTTACTTTTTAAACCTTTGCATCGTGAAGGAAGTGTAATCCTGTAGTCGAAACACTTATTGCTAGCAATTTTTAGTTGCAACGATTCAGCCCAGAATATGCGTCTATTTAGAGCGAGAGCTAAATCTCGACAATGGTCCATGTCATTGGTCCATAACTTGATATTGTTCATGTCATAATAAGAACTATATAACTTTATATTGTCCGCAAAAAGTTTTGAAAAACAATTAAGATTGTTTGTTATGTTAGATAAGTCGTTAATATATAGTAAAAACATTGTTGGTTCTAACACACTACCCTGTAGAACGCCACTAATAATGCAGATTGTATTTAATAATAAGGTATTGATTTTAACCTGTTGATATCTATTTGGGAGAAAAGCATCGATCCAATTAAGAAGGTTACCTCTAAAACCGTATGATGCAAGTTTAGCTAATAGTTTGCGATGTGAGACAGATTCAAACGCCTTTCGGATATCAATATATACAACATTCGTCATTAAATTATTATCAAGTGCAAAGTTCCAATCATTTACAGACTCTAAAAGATTTGTTTACATGGAATGTTTCTTGAGGATACTATGCTGATTAGGAGTAATTAAGTTATAACGAGTTAGATATTCTGTAATATGTGAGTTGATTATTTTTTCCATGACGCAACAACAAGTGCATGTTAGTGAGATGGGCATATAATTATTTGGATCCGTAGTAGCACCATTTTTAAAAATGGGAGGGACTGAAAACCATTAAGATTGGTATTACGGAAATCATAAAAATTTCAGTTTTATTTTTCGACCGTTCTATTTCACTCACATTTATGGAAAAGTGAACTGTGTTATGGCCGCTGGTACTGAAAGGACACTCAACAAAAATAAGACTAAACAGATAAATATTATTTAATAAGACGAGATCTATAATATTTCACGAGTGGTTTCTTCAAAAAATTGGAACAAACCGATATTATTAACTAAATTTAAAAAAAGACTAGACATTTTTCAGTTGGTGATACGTAGTTTTGCTAGTCACTTAATGGTAAATTAAAGTGATCGACAATAACAAATTGAGATACAGAGTGGCACAGTTTATATAAATAATCAAAGACATAAGTTCAAGATAAGCCACATCCACCATGGAGTATGAAGGTGGGCGATAGCAAGTGATTGAATGGAGATTCTGGAAATCCAAGTTTAAGTCTACACAAACAATATCAAATACCAGTTTAAGTCTACGTTGCGTTTCTATCAAATATCAGTTTGAAGAGTTTGAACTTGTTTTGATTTAATATAGTTTCTTCAGTAAACAGCGAATTTTTCCTTTTTTCAGCGAATTCTCCACCAATTTTTATGGGATCCTTACGATAGATTGAATAATCTTTTAGACAAACAACAGCGTCAGATAGCTTACTAGAAAAAAATGTTTCACAGACGCTAATTGCGGCAGGTTTAGTTGCCTCAGTAATAAAATTAAACTCGTGAAGCTTATTTGCGAGGCTTCTTGCATTGAAAAGATAAAAATAATTACTTATAGGTGAAATAGAGGAGAATTTGCCACAAGTTTTAAAACGTTTCGGTAAAAAAATTATTGAATCGTTTTTTAGAAGAAAATAATTTACTTTGTTTACTTGAGTTATAAGTGAATCGCTACTATTAGGTTACGAATTCGCAAGTTCCAAAACACAACGACAGGTTTTAGTGAATTTCCGGTCGTTAAGAATTTTTTATATACTCATCTCCTAACAATTTTGCAATAATGACTTAACGGCAGTAAGACTTTAAGTCTTTCTGCCTCGGTTAAGTCATTATTAAGAAAAACATTTTTAAACTCAATTGAACAAACAGAACTACGATCGTTCTTATTATTAAGAAAAATAACAAAAGGCGGTTGTTTATCCATTTAAGATTTCAGCTTTATAACTTGCTTAGCTTCAATTTTTTAATTAATCGACTCAAAAACTTTTTCGATTGATTTTTTGTCTTGTTATATTGCACTTGATTTATCTGGTTCTCTTGATGCATTGATGCCAAATATTATTAAATTATTTTCACGTTTCTCCCTTTCCTTTTTTTCAGCTGTAACAATATTTATTAAATGTAATTGCTCAACGGATTTTTTTATTTGAGCTTTCCCATTTACAACGCTTGCCCACGATGTTTGGAGTTAACTGGTTCAGCATTTTCGAGCACTTTAACTCTTTAGGTTTTAGTGCTTTAGTTCCTCGTTTTGTTTAATGCTTTGATTAATTTTTCTTGCTCAGCTTTGTAAACTTTAAACTCAGTTGATTGCACATTTACCATAATTGTGTATATCTTAAAGCTTTTAAACGAAAACTTTATTTATTTTTAACAGAGCAATAACACGTCCGATCGATACAAATGCAAAAAAAGTCGCTCTTAAGTTTGGAGTTTGCACAACGTCTGAAAGTATCAAATCTGCAAAACAAAAAAATCAAAATTGCCCCACTAAACAGCCCATCATTCAATGGTCAAAACCTAGTTTTAATGTCAGAATTGGATTCTTTGACCCCAAAAACATTTAATTAGATGTAAAATATGATTAAATTCAAATGAATATAAGTTTATATTCTAAACTAAAAGGTTAAAATCAATACCTCATTATCAATGAATATAAGTTTAGTTTAGAATAACCCGTTGTGCACATCACTGTTGATTCAACGTTGATCCGATGAAGTTGATTGGTGATCAACGGTGATCAACGAATTAATAGCATTCAACCAACGGTGTTAAAATAGCCGTGTACGACCGTTATCAAAACACTGTTGCTTTGTCGTGATTTCAACGCTGACAAAACGTTACTAAGCACGCTTATGCTTGGTAAATATAATCAGTTAAATTTTTTGAACATTCTGATAAGCGTTTGATTTTTATTTCATGATAAAATTATTAAAATTGTAGCAAATCTTTATTTAATTTCATTATTTTGATAAATTTACGACTAATTATGTTTAAAAAAAACACTCGAAGTAGTTATTTTAAGCATTACATGAGAGACTGGCGCAAAAACAATAAATTGATTAAAGATTTGTTAAAAGAAGATTATAAAGAAAAAAAAGTTTCTTCACTAGCTTCAACTTCAGTAGCTTCAACTTCAGTAGATTTTACAGTAGACAACAACATTAAGGAAATTCCAATTGAAACGAATCATCAACAATCAGTTGAAAATAGTGTCTGTGCTGAGCAAAATTTGATAAATTGTTATTCCTCTGACTTTGACAGCATAAATAATCTTTCCTGTAATTATACTTTATCAAATGAAGATGAAAGCGTTCCCTTTGGTATTGATTTCTCAGATAGCGAAAAACTAATCAGCAGTGAAACAAATGTGAATGAAAATATGGAAATAGAAAATCAAGATGTAACCACCATATCTTTTCTTCGAACGTGGTCCTTAAAGCATAACATTAAAACTGCACCCTTAAATGAGCTTTTAATTCATTTAAATAGTGTTATACCAGGTTTACCAAGAGATAATAGAACATTAAAGAAAACGTTACATGATGTGAATGTTATTAAAAAAGCTGGTGGCGATTTCATATATTTAACAGTAGCTAGTGCTTTAATACATTATTTAAATTGCACAAAAGGTGTAAAGAAGGTTTTAAAGCTGACAGTTAATATAGATGGAGTGAGGGTATACTCAAGTCAATGCAAATTATTTTGGCCAATTTTAATCAAAATTAATCAAAGTTCTTCATATTTGGTTGCTCTGTGGTATGGGGAAATTAAGCCTAACAATATTTCTTGCTACCTTCAAAAGTTTATTGAAGAAATGAAACATTTGTTAAGTAAAGGGTATGAACATAATAATATTTATTTTTCTGTCTGTTTAACCGCTTTTATATGTGACGCTCCAGCAAGAGCATTTTTAAAGTGTATTCAAGGTCATAGCGGATACAACTCTTGTGAAAGATGTGAAGAGCATGGTATATATACGCAAGGTGTAAGGCTGTTGGGTACATCAGCACCAATTAGAACAGATGCTAAGTTTAGATGTGGTGTTTATGATTTACATCAACACAAACCACTCTCTCCTTTACTTTCTTTAAACTTTCCTATGGTAAGTGGATTTGTATTAGATTATATGCATCTGATATGTTTAGGAGTTGTTAAAATTATTACACAACTGGGTGAGAAGATCATCAATCCATAGATTAAACCAAAATATAATTGATCAAATATCAGCTGAGATGCTTCATATTGCAGAAAGTACCCCTTCAGAATTTCAACGTACTGCAAGAAAACTAGATGACTTGTTATATTTTAAAGCTGTAGAGTTTCGTTTCTTTCTTCTGTATTCTGGATTAGTTTTACTAAAAGGTAAGATCTCTGGAAAAGAATACAATTTGTTTCTGGCTTTGTCAATTGCTACACGTATACTTCTTTCTGATATTTTCAGTAAACAAAAACGTTATGTTATATTTTCTAAAAAGTTATTTTATTGGTTTACCAATGAGGCTATTTTACTCTATGGAGAGACTTTTTCATCTTATAATGTCCATTCTCTAATACATATAGCTGATGATGTTTTAAATCATAATAAGACTTTAAACGAGCTATCTGCTTATCCATTTGAAAATTACTTAGGATGTTTAAAAAAAGTAGTGCACTCAGGAAGATATGCTATATCTCAGGCTGTCAAAAGATTAGAGGAAAAATTACAACTCAATGAAAATGTAACAACTCAAGAAAAAACAACTAAAATTGGTACAGGGAAAAAAATAGTGTTTTTTTAATTGCAAAATCTGGGTTCACGATTATAACCAAAAAGCTTAGTGAAGATAAGTACCTTGGAAGGTTAATTAAATTAAAATACTTCTCTAATTATTTTAATGAACCAGACTTGTCTTCCACATACAACATATTTTTTATATCTATGATTGATAATTATACTGAATCTGTTTTTAAAAAAGAAGAACTTATTTCTAAAGCAATCATGATGCCATTTTCAAAAGGGGGTTTTGTTTTTATGACTCTAGTTCATTGTGACACTAGATAAATGTGTATAAAAATTTCCTGTTTAAATTTATGTCTATGAATTTTTTTTTATGTTTGCTTTAATTTTATTGGTTTTATTGAGGTTAATGACTAGTCGATGGTTTAATTGTTTGATTTTCGTTGTTTAGTTATTTATTTGATTTTAACTATTTAATTGATTTTAATTTTTTAATATATTTTAACTGTTTCATTAATTTAATTATTTCATTCATTTTTACTGTTTGATTAATTTTAATTTTTTTATTGACTTTAACTGTTTGATTGATTTAATTACTTAATTTTTTTTGAAGTTTATAAACTTTTTAAATGATAAGAAGCATATAAAAAACCAATAATATCAATATTCACATATTAATACTCTTATATATATTTATATTAGGCGTAGGCAATATATGTATATATATATATATATATATATATATATATATATATATATATATATATATATATATATATATATATATATATACATATATATATATATGTGTATATATATATATATATATATATATATATATATATATATATATATATACACATATATATACATAAATATATATAAATATATATTTCTTTGTGTGTATTTGTGTGTGTATCTATATATTATGTATGTTGATAATTGGTTTTAAATATTTATTACATAAATAAAGTTTTTTTTGTAAATATATTGCAATTTTGGTAATTTTTAGATAATTATGGCGTTTTCAAAAGTAAAATGGATAGAACCACATGCAAATGGATCTAGTAAAATCCAGTATGGGACGGTGCCAACAAACTGGATTGAAGAAGAAGAAGGGCAAGAGTTTATTCGTTGGCCTTGCAATGCTAAAGATGTAGAGCCGTACATAAAGCGTTGCCAAAATCCTTGCATTAATTGGTTGTTTTTTGTTTTAGTTCAACATTTTGGGAGTGCAGGTATTTATAATATTTATATATTCAATTCATTATTTATCAAAATAGTACTAGATTTAAATAAATTTTATTTATGTATGTTAGTACATTTTTAGACAGTTACATAAATTGTGAATCAATTAAAACATGCTCAGAATCTGAATCTGACCACAATTCGCAATTGGGGAAAAGGAAATACAACCAAATAGATTCATTTGCCTATCAAAAGCAATCAGGTGAGTGTTTTTTTTTGTGTGAAAATGTTTTGGTTTGAATCAGATTTTATTGAATGTTACTAGTATTAGTAAAGATAACCACAACTAGTCCTGGTATTATTGAATTAATCAAAATATTCAACAAAAAATAAGTAAAAACAATTTAAACTTAGCTTTTTTTTACATTTATAGAAAAAAGATTAGCTAATGCAAGAAAATCGAAAACAAAGAAATTGAGTTATATAGAAACAAGTGACGATGAAGTCAGTTTTTCCAGTACGCCATTTCCAAAATTAGACGGTAACAATAGTTCCATAAAGGTTTGGTTTTTTTCTGGTTTTTTTCTACTGATGGACTAACAATGCATTAATGATAAATTATAGATGATGGTTCTTCTTGTGTATACTCATACAACAATTCAGCAACAATTAGTTCCAGTGAAGGGGTCAGTAATGTTAAGTTTCATAATTTGAGTTGCCTGTATAATTGAATTCTTTTAAAAAATATTTTTGTTGGTTATTATTGTGATTATCTGCAAACTCAATGATGACTTATTTTTTTAGTTAACTTGTGAAAAAATAGTTAATAAAGTAATTGGTAAAAGTGCTGGGGAAACAGATAAAGACTTTCTGATCAGAGTAAGAAAAAGTTGAATTAATATTTCTTTCTGATCAAATCTTGCAATTTTATTTTTGTAATTTTATTATGTTGTAGCTTGTGTAAATTAACATAGTTGGAATTATATTTATCTTAATTTCTGCAAAGCTTTTAAACGAACAATGTTAGCAGCAATAGCACGTCTAGAAAAAAACTTTAATGACTTTAAAGCCTCATTTAAGCAGAATGATTTAAAAACTTTAGTCAAACCGTTACATCTATCAAAACTGCAATTTGACGAAATCTTGGATCTGGAAGTTTTTCTTTCAGCTGATAGTAAAAGAAAGGATTCTGCAGTGAGAAATTATACATTATTGTTTTTAGTTTTCCACTTAAATTAATTTTTTCTCCTTACATTTTGTATCATTTTTATAGTTAAGTCTTTTTTCTTTTTTTGCAGGTAGAATCATTATGTAATGTGGGTGGAAAATCTACAATAGATATTACATACAATGTTATGAAAAAAGTGATGAGTGACGAGGCTTCTAGCCACTTTAATATAAAAGGCAGTTCTCAGAAAATCTCATTTTGTGAAAAGTGCCCAATATTATTTTCTGCTATAATTAGTAAGTACATCTTTAAGTATTGGCAAGTTTTACCTTGTTATTTTGACCCTTAAATTCTAAAAAGTGCTCTATTAGTTTTCATCAATTTTGCTGGATTTAAGTCGGATTAAGGCAGATTAAGTCATTTAGGATCTTAGCACAATTATTCTTTTAGAGCCTAATTCATACTACAAAAAAATATGTACAAATAAATTTTATATTGTTAGATGTAATATTGTTAATAGAGGCCTTCTTTCAGTAAGTAAATTAAAAAAGAAATTGTAATTTTTTTTTTGTTTACAAAAATAAATGTATAATAATATTAACACTATTAAAATTATTTTAAAAATTTTATTTACGCTAATATTTAAGGTCTATATGCTATACGGGCCTTAAATAACTGTCTAGTTTGCATAATGGGTAATCCACCACTAATGCTGTAGGGCTTCTAATAAACATGGAGCACATTTTTCATTAATCCGGCCCATTAAAACAAGGTTTCTGCCAGATCAGGGAAAAGTCAGGGAATTCAGATTTCTGCAATAATATCAGGGAATAATCAGGGAAATTGTGTTGAGAAATTTTGAAAAATCAAGTAGAAATTCTCATGAATAAAGTAAAACTCTCATGAACTGTCAGTTGTATTTTTTTCATGGCGTTTTAATAATACTTTGAATGTAGGTTTTATTATACATATATATATATATATATATATATATATATATATATATATATATATATATATATATATATATATATATATATATATATATATATATATATATGCAATTGAAAGTATTTTTCTAAAATAATTATAAGTTGAGCTTTTGTAGCTTTAAAGGGAGAACAGGTAGAGAAACAGGGAAAAGTCATGGAAATCCATCTTAAAATATTGGCAGACACCTTGTTTAGTATTATGTTATTTAATACGATGTATCATTGTTTGTTTCTATTCTCTTTTTTTTTTAAGATGCCATCAAATTACAGGACGAATCAGCGAAAGATAGCGATATAACAACCGCAATAGGAAAGTGGCTACGTATGCATGGCACACTGTTTAAACGTCAAATGACAGAATAACAACAAAATAACATCGTTTTGATTGAAAAAAATTTGAAAATGCAGAAAATATTTTGCTTGTTAATTTAATATTTTTTCTGTTTCTAATTATTTACTAGATAAATAGAAACGGAAGAAATAGTGTTAATTAATAGTGTAATTAATTTTTGAAAATCATCAAGGGTCTATTAGGCATTATTATTAGGGTGTTCTTTTAAGATAAATTACAAATAAAATTTAGTTCTTATTCATTGGAATTAATACTAAAGATATTTAACAAAATAGTACTAATTAAATAATATCGACGGTATAAAATCCTTAATGCACCGTTGCCAATGTTAACGAAACTCCGCAGTCAGTTAACGGCTGATCAACACTTCTTAAAAGCATTCAATCAACGTTAAGTTAACAATCACAAAGCATCAGTGATTCATCGTTGATTGAGCAACTGTAAAACACCGTTGCAAATGTTAACAAAACTCTGCACTCAGTCAACGGTGAATCAACACTGCTCGGAAACACTCAATCAACGTTGAATCAACAGTGATGTGCACAACGGGAATACAAAAAATATTTTTTCAACATGTTGCCCCTCACGTTTAGAGTAGGTGGGAGGATGAAATTTACGTGCTTTTTTATTTCCAGCCTCCAACCATCGCATTTTTCTGCAAAGCATTATTATTTTACATAAGTACAAACATACTTATGTTTGGAGTTAGCTACAGCTCTGGAATTTAGCTAACTTAAACACCCAAAAATCCTGAGTCCGTTACTGATTTCAGGTGTCACTATCAACCGAATAAAAAATCCATAGTACCACTACATTTGCAGTAAAAATATACTCAATGTGGTAAAGATAGGAACAAACCGATAAATTTAATACTTTAGTCCAGTTTATACTATTATGGTTAATAAAATATGTGGTTGCTAATCAACTTAAATATTCATAGCAATCTTTGCTATGGATAACTAAGTTGATAAAAACATTGCTAATCAACTTAGTCATCCATAGCAATCTTTTTTATATGAGGAGTTAGTAGTTTTGTCTAGTAAAAATGAATTTTTGCCTATTGTGAAACCGAGTGAATTTCTCAAAGTTTCCAGAACTTTCTTGAAATTTTCTAAAAAATTGCTTTTTACTCTAGCAAACCCAATATATCTAATACTCTTATGTTGTCGATCTTAAATATGCATTTTCAATCTTTAACTTTTATAATTTTTTTCTGGTAATTTTTGTATAATTATCAGTTAACTTTGCCAATTTTATTCATTAGATAAATTTTGCCGAAAATGTAAAATCGGTAAAATTTGTAAATTCGGCTAAGAACATTTAAAAAAAAAAATTGGGATAAGCAAAGCAAATTAAAAAAAAAAAAAAATAAACATTAACATATTTTAAATAAAGATTTAATACTGATAGTTTTTTTTTTTTTTAATTCAAATAGTTTAAAATTATGACATAACTTTATACCTTGTTAACTGTTTATTAAAAATATTTTAATATGTTTTACTGATAAAGATTTCTTTGTTAAAAACGCAAAATATATGCTAAATCTACAAAGATTTCTATGTAATTATATTTATTTTGTTTGGTTTAGTTAAAATAAATTAAAATTTTTATTATTCTTTGTTCTATAAATAGCATAAATGTTCATATTATTCATTTTTTATTTTTATGTCTTTTAATTTAATTAACTAATCCTTACTTTTTGTTATACATTTTTATGGTCATTCCACTGTTTTAGTAAGTACCAATTATAGTTCAATATTAATGTTGTATATAAAATACTGTCAGTATTTTATTTACAAATCTAAATAAAATATTTTTTCAATGGAATCTAAAATTAGTTAAACTTTTTAGTTTAAATTTTTTCCGTCTCCTTTTGAAGAAAATGATGTGCATGTGTGAAGAAGACAGTCACGTCTTATAAGGTGAGTTTTAAACTTTATTATTACAAATTTCATGCTATGAGCACTAAGGAGAATAGGAAATAAGCTTGCCAATTAATTTCCAACTTTAAGTTAAATTTGGTAAGAACAAGGGTATAGCATAAAGTTTTTAACACAAGAATTTCACCATTTGAAAAACATTTGACATTTGGCAAAAAACACATAGTTTTCATGAACTTCACTCTCTTATATCTTTTTTTATAATTAAGCCAAAATCTCAAACGTTTTTGCATCAATTAGTTTGACTCAATCTCTTTCTAATCATATGTAGAATGTAGTAAGTTTTGTATGGCTTCATTTATATATTACTCATGTCTTGAGACCATTATTGATAAAAAAAAACTTGCTGCAGACATAGACTTATTTAAAAAGTATTGTATGTTATTGGATAATATGTTACATATCAAAGTACTAGTCTGAGTTGGAAGTGGCTGGTTTTATTGTTGCATTGCACAGCAGCCCAGGTTTTTACATTTTGTTTGATGCTCATTTTTTAATAGCTGAGCTATTCTGCCATTTTTGATTTTGGGTTTTGGTTTAGACAAAAAAAAAAATATTTAAATGACTTTCTACTTTTTATTTTTTTTCCATTTAAAAGTGTCTGGAAAAAGTACTGCACAATTATAGTGTACATAATTTTGAAATTATTTGTTGGCCTGAAAGTCATTTTAGTTAAAGTTTTATATATTTTGTTTAGTTAATTTTTTATACACTTATATTTAATACTGGATTATTCCATATGAAATCACCTAGTTTTTTAAAAAAGCCCCAGAGAACCACCTCAGATTTGCTTCAAATTTGTCTACCCACAGATTTTATAAAAAAAAAAACAACCCTGAAAATTTCAGTTTGACTGACTGGATGGTTTAAAAGTTATTATTGATTCAATAATGAACAAAATTGTAAAAATTTGAGTATGTGGAACTTACAGTAGATTTTATTTTTATTTTTGAAAGACTATAAATTTATAAGTAAATAAGTCAATCAATTAAAAATATGTACATCAATAGTTTTTCATCTAAATGATTCTTTTTTGTATTGCATTTTAATTGTTTTGGACTGAATTTGAATAGTTTTGAGTTATTATTCCTCAAAGTTGCTAAATAATGCAATATTAGTTTTTAAACACCAATAAAAGTTTTTAAAACCTTACAGTTCAATACCTACTGATAAGCGGTACCAATTTGTTATTAGTTTTGTGTATTTAGAGTAACCACTCGTGGTAAAAAATTTGCAGCAATTTCTATATTTCTGATTTATATAACTCATAAATTTATCATAATTTTTATTAGCAAGATTGTAGCCAAAAGCACCTCTATCCTTAGGTCAGGTAAAGTTATCCTTCTACTGGTGAGATGTAACCTAGTCAACCTGCTTAACGTCCTGCTGCCTTGTAGGATACGCTTTTTTAGGCAAAGGCTAGGAGAAGCCAACTCTAACTTAAAACACCCCCTGCCAAGAACCCCAAGCTCTTGGTTGAGTGAAGGCTAGAGATAGTGTCTCAATAACAAAATTCATCTTGGGCAGACACTAAATGCATTTGGTTACTGCCTTGTTGAAGGCCTACAAGGCAAAGACTTAAAGGGTAAACAGATTCTACATGTTGACCAGTCTCGCACTTTCTATTACGCTGGCGTAGATGTGTTTATAATACATTGTTTTCAGTTTAGAATGTTGAATGTTGGATCTTCTTGACTCAATGCATGAACTTCACTTGTGTCTCTGTTTTTATGATTAAGCAAAAGCAAAAAACCATTGTCATCCTCATGTTCTTAACCTTTCTTCTGTTGAGTCATCTTTTAAAAAGTTTACTAGACATACTTGCATTTAGTGGATCTAATTTGAGTTTAGCTGTTTCATCTTTGTGGTCTTAGTACTATGGTTATCTTCCTGTAATTCCTAAAGACTCCAATGGTCACATGCTTGGCTTGGGCATTTACATTGGTAAGAATTCACTAATTTGTTAGAAACTAGGTTTAAATATACAGACTTTTTTTTATGTGCTTTCAATTAGCACTACTTTTCTCTATTGTCTTTTTATTTTTTCTATATCGCTTTCCCTCATTTTAAGACTGCACTATTTTTGATATTATTTCTAATCAAATTGTCCAAGTACTGTTTTTTTTCTCTTTATTCTTCAGCCAATATTGTTGTTGTTGGTGGTTTTAATGGTCATTACTTATTGCATTGAATGGCTTAAATTTAGTGTCAGTACTCTGCAGGAATTAAGGCCAAAAACTTTTACCTTTCTCAATCTATAACACAAATAATCAACTTTCCAACTTGCTTTCCAGACAATCCAAATCATTTACCTTCTCTACTCAACTAATATCTTGTTTCTGATCCTAGTCAGTGCTCAGTTTCTCAATTTGATCTCATTCTCCTTTATCATTAGAATCCCCTTACCATCGTATCTTTTACAATTACCTTCAAGCTTACTGGGCCTCTTTTAGTGATTTTCTTTGTGATGAACCTTGGGTTGTAATCTTTTGTCAAGCCTCACTCTTTTCTAAAGTTTTCTTCAGATGGTTCTGCTGCAATTTCCAATTTTAGCCATTACTTTCATATTTATCAGGAAAGCAGTTCTCCAGAAAACAGATATCTGCTTACTATCATTAGATACCTTTGTAAAAAGGTTTTGCCTAATGCCAAAGCCTGCTATTCTCAGGTCACAAAATCTTGTATTTCATCTAAAAAATTAGGCTCTTGCAGGCCTTGTGATGAATAAAAACTGCGCGATGCATAAGCTCAACGTGATTTTTGACGTCATTAAATTCTTTTTATTTGCGTTTCATATTTATCAACATTAACTGCACCAATTTACTTAATTACCGCAAAACTACTTTAAATCATTAATGTAGAGATGTTATTTTTTAAAAATGTTTTGGAATGTTTCGTTTTTTAAAATGTAAAAACATTTGTTTAATTTCTCAACGTTTGACACGTTTGTCTATACTAAACGAATAAAAAACATAACTAAACATTTAAAAAAGATTATAAAATATGCTAATATTTGATTTTTTTTTTTTCTCAAATATATAATTTAAAGTTTTTCAAATAATTATTTTTTCTATTTAAAAAGTCAGCGAGTAATAAACTGGAAATTTTAATATTGTACGATTAAAAACTGTGCAATAGCTAATATTTTTACTAGCGATTTTATATAATATTTCTTTATTTTTATTTATTTTCATAAAGCGGTTGATAAGCACAATCACTCGTATTACTAAAAAACTTTAAGTAACGTTTTGAATATATTTTTAATGTTTACAAGGAAATTTTTTTTGGTAAAATAAAATAAAATGTTAGAATAAAAAATCTCGTGTGTATAAAAGACATATTTCAGCGAAAAAAAAATATTCTTAAAAATTATTCGAAAAACTATTGACGTTCTATTTTTCAGCAGCTGATCTTGAGCACGCTTCGTTGAGTTTTGGTAACTTTTAACAAAAAAGCGGTTGTTATTATTTAAGTAATTTTTTTTGAGTTACTTTTTACAAAAATTTTAATAGCTGTACTTTTTTTTATTGAATCAAGTAGAATATGTTTTAATATTATTACTTTTATTATTTTTTTATTTTATTTGCGCTTACCAATTTTAAAAATGTTTCCTCAAAATTACTCTTAAATACCTTAAATACCTCTAACAGTTAATAAATATTTTTAAATCTATGGAATAATTCAAAACCTAACAAACCCCCATAAAATAATTATTCAAGTTAAATATCTAAAACTAAAAGAAAGTATTTTTGTTCAATTTTATTGACAACTTTGCTATTGCTGAATAATTTTATTAAAATGTTAGCTTAAAAAAATTTAAACTTTTTTTTTTATCTGAATTTTTTCTACTTGTAAATTATGAGCATATTTAATTTTTTTGTAAATCAAACTTTTGTATCAACTGCGTGCGGTTTTTAAAATACTTTATTAAATGTTAAAATAATTGCTCGACGCAAATAGCCCTAGCTACACGCAAAATCGCTCTTGGACGACATAAAATTCACATTGCCCAACGCTTTATCGCAAGGCCTGCTCTTATGACTTCTTAAGAATATTTAGCAGCATCTTTAATAAGGGCCAATCTTTTTTCCCACCACTCTTGTATGGTTCATATTTTTTCACCTCACCTAAAGACAAAGCTTAATTGTTTTTTAAGAACTTTTCATCAATATTTTTCATCTCTTGATTCCACTAGTCACATACTACCTAATATAGCTGAAAAACAGGTTAATCCATTGCCTGATGTTTGTATTATTCCAGCTTCTGTATCTAAAGTGATTTCCTGTTAAGACTCTTCTAAAGCTTGTGATGATGACAATGTACCTTTTATATGCTATGCATATTGCTCTAGACATTTGTGAAGCTTTTGAGAAACGTTGGCATACTGGTCTTCTCCATTAGCTTCCTTCTTATGGTGTTTATGGTGTTTATATATATATATATATATATATATATATATATATATATATATATATATATATATATATATATATATATATATATATATATATATATATATATATATATATATATATATATATATATATATATATATATATATATACACTACCGCTAAAAAGTAATTTTTTAATTTGGAAGTAAATAATTTTTTTCGAAAAATTGAATATAATGTCAATATATATTGATGAAATCGATTTTGATAATATAATTACTTTATTTCTAACAAGTCAATATACTTTTGTGTCATATTGTGACACTATACAGTGCCAGTTTCAACAGTTAAAAGATGATTGAACTCTGCCCATCTCTGAGGATGTGTAGCAGGCAAAAAACCGAAATTAACAAAACAACATAAGAAAAACAGGTTGGCTTGGGCTAAAACTCATAAAGATTAAACAATTGAAAAATGGAAAAACGTACTTTGGACGGGCGAATCAAAATTTTAAATTTTCGGTTCAAACAGAAGAGTTTTTGTCTTACGATCTAAGAATGAAAAGGCTTTGCCAGAGTGTACTGTGCCA